TCATCAATCAATTCCTCATCTTTACCTAATATTCTATTTCTATACCAGGTATTGTCTGCTCTGCGGTCCCAAAATACACGAGTGATGCTTCTTGGACATATATGATAGAACACCAGTAATCTACGAATATCCTCTACTCGTAACGGCCATATTTCACATCCATAAAGCAGAACGGAGAGAACTGTCGCTCAGTAAACCCGCCCTTTGGCTGAAAGATGGATATCTCGCCCACGCCACAAGTGAAGCAATTTGGCACAAGCCACTTGAGCCTATTGAATCCATGACGAGATGTCGTCACCAGACCATCAGGAGTAATGAGACTTCCAAGATAAAAGAAGCGGTCGATGCGTTCAACTACTTCACCTGGTATCACTCATTCGGGCTATAACGTGGGCCAATCATGAAGAAACATTTTGCATTCGGAGGGTGAGAACCGCATTGCAAACATGCTTTCACTGTTGCTTAAGGTGATCAGAAGACTGCATTTTGTCAGCGTCTTCACCAAACAGAACTATATGATCTGTATATTCTAAGTCAACAAGTGAATTCTCTGGTAAACGATCAATTCTTGAAAAGTCATACGATGAAAGTTATTTCTAAAAGAATGTCTATGACAAAATTAAATAAAAATGGTATGCACAACAAACGGTCTGATAGTTTCGATGACTGATCAAACAGTAGTCAGTTAGTTAAAAAAAACTCTCAAAAATAATCTATTACAATCCATCTAGGCACTAATGTTAATCGAGCCAAGTTGGCGCAAGTTAATTTAATAGAACGAAACAGGGATTATAATGGTAATAATACCAATGAAATTAGCAAATTAAACATAAAAGATATCATCCTTAAAAAAAGAAATAAAAATGAAGCCAAGGAAATGCAAGTATGAATATTAGAACTCAGTATTTCTAGGATGATAAAGAGAGAATTTTTACCTACACTGAGATTATTGATCTTAAACCATGTCAACTAAAGTCTTTACTGATAGAAATTACGATTATCGTGAAGGTACTGCCGATCGAGAGTTTCAATTATATTGTGACATGGCTTGGTGCAATGATCAATGACTGTATAGGTTAATACCATCATTACTACGTTATCATTCTGCTTATGTGTTAGTAAGAACAATCGAATGATAAGAACTATCTAGGCGCGTTTATAAATCATTGCTTAAACATCTTTCAGTTGGTGAAGGTCTATAGCCTTATCGATTGATTTTTCGTTTCCAACTAGTATTTTACACTGTGCACCAGTAATGCGTCGAAAATATCTACGACTAAATATTATCACCAAATGTATGTCTCATCATCTCGAATACTGTGTTTCATTGTTATAGGAAAGAAATAAAGCGGTACGAAATGATTTTGTATAATGAATGAACGTTTGGTTTCTAAACATTCACTCACTGTACACAGACGAGGAAATAGAAAGCTTATGACTGAAAAGTAATTCAAATCAAAATTAACAAATAAGTTTCCTTTAATAAACAATAGTGTGAATGTAACACTAAAAAATAGAGCTTTATTCAAGTTACAGTATTATTTAACAATAATTTCTTATAGTTTATAGAATGTGACCTATGATCATAATACATATGAAATATAAATATGGATAAACAGAATAACTGAAATCAGTAAAAAAAAGGAAACCTACCTTGATTATGCTCGATTCTTGTATGATAAGTTTCACCACGTACACGAAAACTTAAACTTAAAATATGTGTGTCATGTCCACTATCACGAACTAAAAAGCTACCGTCTGGTCGTTTAGCCAGTAAAAATTGAGCATCTTGGAAACTTAGTGGACCCCAATACCAGCCCATCTGTTAAATGAACAAAATTAAAAAATGTTTTTGGTCTAAAACATACTTAAACAATGTCCCAAGCATATAAAACTCAACAGCAGTAAAAAGAATGTCGACTTATATATTAATGGGTGAATTATTAGATATTTAATTATTCTGAAAAGTTGAAGATATATTAATATTCCTATCTACACTAATAAGTCACAACTCTAACAAAAAGAAAGTCTACAACTGTAGTAAAAAATTAAATTCCATGGAATTCGTATGGATAAGCCATACATGAGAAATCTTTATTTACAAAATCATACACACGACTCTATTAAGAAACACTTTTTATCACATATTTATAACCAACCAGTTTTAAATGAAACTAATTTTCAATGAGAAGAATATGTAATCTAACTTTATCTAGGTTCTAATCCCACTTCATCTATTTCGAGATAGAAAGCTGGTCAGTATCACACGAGTTTTCAGTGAAAAACGTCTAAAGTAAAGTCAAACACACAAACGTCAACTTGTTTAACGAGTCGCATAAAGATAAAACATAGTAGTGTAGTGAATGAAGACTAGGTGGGGATAACCAATTTATGGTTTAATGCAAAATTACAGGGTACTTTCACAAAATATGAACACTATACATCACAAACATCATTTTCACATCTTTCTCCAGTTGTCCTTTACATGCCTCATGATTCTTTTAATTCTGCTGTTATTAAAATTGCTCTTTGTATACATCCCTGTTCTTTTCGATTCAATATTTTGCTGCCAGGCATTCCACTTCTGATTGGCGTTATATACTACTTATGTCTGTCAACATAAGTAGCACGCACCATAGTAGCATTAGATACTAGAGACTATGATTCAGTTTGGTCATATGAAAACTGTCGATGCAGAGTACGGCGTGAATCCATGAGGTACTTATTTTCGGTTGATATAATAAACCAATGAGCGATATACATGCATAATAGTGGTGTTAACTTATAGCTTGACCTATGAAATTAGCTAATCAATCGGTCATTATCAACATAGAAGTCGGCACAGATGAGCGCTAACCTAAATTATTTGATCACAATATGACGAGACGAGAATGACAGGATAAACAGAAGCAAAATCGAAAGAATTTAGTAGCAGTGATAATGACGAAAACTAAGCACTGAAAATATGGTTTAAAAAGATGGTGAAAAGGTATGGACGAAGGGATATTGGAACCCGAAATTGAGAAAAAAATGGAGTTGATGTATCTACGCTATCATGAAATAAAAATTAACTGAAATCAACCCAATGGACAAAAATTAGCAAAAATAACCGTATCAAAATATGACGCTACAGTTTACCGAATCATGTATGTAAATATTCCATGAAGATGCTGGTGATGACTAGGACAACAATGAGAGCTTCACAACTAAACCATCCAGCTCGAAAACCATATATACATGGAGAAAACACCAGGTTCGGATAATAAAGAGGCTTTTTCAATTAAATTAGATGTTTTACACAAATTTAGCAGAGTGGTGAATCAGATCGGAGTGTCACACTTTTAAACATCATAAACAGCAAATTCACAAAAAAAGAACGCAGAATAAACAAGTACAACTTAATAAATACCCTAGATTAGAAGCGTGTCTATGGCACAAGAATCTAAAGCCAGGCACACAAACTGATTTTTATAAATTCATGGTTCGCACATATTTATTCAATAAGCCTATAGTCCCCTATAGAGCCAACGATAAAAAAAACCTCGTAATTTTTGAGATATATGATTTTAGACACCCCACTTCCCTCTCTTTATATATAATTTACATGACAGCATGATTGGTCACTAGATGATCAGACGGGGCTCACTAGTCTAAATGCACAAAATTTCACATAGATTAGAACATGTAACAGTTTAAGTCAGTCAACTTGAATAATCGTCTATCATTTCAATGATGAGCTTGTAGACACTAGTCAGAATATCTCAATACTCATGCTCTCAACACAGTTATCACGTTAGACTTGAAAAAAAAATCATTAAACATTAAATATAGTGACATTTTGTCACAGGAAGGTTGTCAGTTGCCATAATTATAAAATGAGAATAAATACTACTTATATACCATTAAAACATGAAACTGAAAACATATGCTAAAATCGACGGTAGTAGAGAAAAGCAAAGAAGAAATTTCATAATAGCCAACATGACTTGGAGTACATCTATATACATATCAGTCAACTACACTGTAGGACCAGGCATATATGTGCACCGGTCCAGTTTGCCATACCTCATTAACACAACAAGATGAAAACTGAATACATAAAGTAGTTAATTCAGTAGTGGTAATATATAAAAGAAAGATTGCATATAAGGATATAGTACAGAAAGAAAGAATTAGTTTGTAGAAAGAAAGATATGAAACGATTTTAATCTCATAGTTTAAGGGAAGACAGAGGGTGTATACACCTACGTCATTGTGATCAATTCTGAGCCATGTCACCCACAGTCTTCAACCATTGGTTACGATAGTCATACGGATCCGAACCAAGTAGCCCCCAAATGCCCTGGTATGGCTGAGAGTGGGGTGGGCCCGCCCTCTCTCTCGAAATGCTCTCACACGGTCACGAGTATACAGCCTCTGGCAGGGAAGTCCAGCTCAGAGAACAAAACACCACCAAAGTCCTACACACTGCCTTCTCGTGGCACGGGTGTTGTTTGCGAAATTGAGAGGACGAAAAGTGAATATCCGGTGCTTTAACCGAATTCCAAACCAATAGTGCACATAGGCTCCAGTATCCTGAAGGAACAAATGGCATATGAACCAATCGTTGGTCACCGGCTACCATGGGACTGCGTCTCCTTACGATTCTCCACTGCCTTGTGGGTCAGACCTTTAGATCGAAGTCTCCGGGTGTGGCCCCCTAAGAAAACCACCTGCTTCGGTTTGGACACCCGGGCAGTATCACAGCCCTCACACAAATCGAATGATTTATGTGGCGCATATGTATTTGGTGCCTCCTTGTACCAATATCTATGTGTTAAAATAAATAAATAAAAATCTACTAACATGGCTCAGACTAGAAGTCAGTGAATTCAAGGACTAATGCTACGTTTTGATTAGGCCGCTCCTAACTTTCTCCCAACCATCCCCAACACTAGTCAGCATTATCAATATACATATATGTATAATTTTCATTTGCTATAGCGATAAGAGGATAAATAACTTTATTCAACTAGTAGATCTTCAACAACAAAATAAACCCAAACAATATTGAAACGATATAAGGGTAACATAAAAAGCAAACTAGTAGAGAAAATCATGGACACACATAAAAAACGAAAGGAACTGATGAAATATTAATTAGAAAAATGTAAAATAGTTGTTACATTCATAGTAAGTTTATGATTGTTCTAATTTTGGGACTATTTATTCTAATGAAGAATGTATAGACAAACATATATAAACATTTATTATAGTAAAGGATATATGTGAAATAGTTCATTTTTAGACAAATAATTATGATACATACAATTGTATATAGCACACATATAATGAGTCATATAATATTCATACCCTTTTTGTTTAAGAATATACAAGTATGATGATAGTCATAATCAAATTGTTTAGTACATACAGAATACAAATAATACAAATATAAATCTCTATAGGGATAAATAGAATAAAACTAAAATTTGGACAAGTAAATTACTTGATAAAGGAGAAATAGTATTTACAATTAAGATTTCATTAAATCATTGATACAAGTTTGTATAGAATTAATTGAAGTTAGAAATTAACAGCGTTGGATGCCGATTCAATGGAGTCTAGTGGTTAAGCGCTTGCGTGCGCGAGACTGATAGGTCCTAGGTTCGAATTTTGTGGAGGGAAGGGGGCGAGATCGTGGATGCGCACTGTTGAGAAGTGCCACAATAGGACGAAACGGCCGTTCAGTGCTTCCAGGTTTTCCATGGTGGTCTAGTTTTAATTGACTCATGATCTCAAACATTGAAAGAATTTAAATTGTTTAATGGTTTTTATTCATTATTTACAATTAAGTAACTAGTAATATAGTACTAAAATATGTATGAGAACTATATAATGCAGATTTAAAAGAGTATAATTTTGTCTAAAGTATAGTGAATAATGTCTTAGATGAAATAGTTAAAGAACGTTTACTGTATAATGATATTATTCAGTTGTAGAGAACGATGTAGATAAAATGTGACTATTTATAGTCGTAACTCTCGGATGTGCAGATGAAATTTTTTTCTAGTCAAACAATAAACATATGACGTAAATCATAGTTAACCGTTGATCAACAAGTGTTTATAAATACGGTGTTCACACGTGCCTTCAACTGTAAAACAGATCATTGACACTAACAGCACACTATGCCTCTATGTACTTCTTGGGAGTAGTCGATGGGAACAGTTGAAATGTTCTTATAATTCGGCTGGTATGTTGATAGTGTTTGTAATAACTCCGCATATAGCTATTTTAGGGTGCATGGGGTCATAAACCTCATCCCGTAGAAAACAAACTTGCTAAGAAAAACGCTAACCAGAATAAACAATTTAAACCAATTAAACTCTGCCCTTCGACTTCAAGGAAAAATTACCACGCCTCATGTTGAAAGCCCAGATTCTTCGGAAGTCACAATACCGATGCCTCTTCTAACAACCACAGCAACAATTGATACACGTACATCAAATGTTCAGACAATGTGGGAGACCGAAAGGACCAATCAAATAGCTATGGAAATGAGAAGATACAACTTGACGGTTCTCAGAATCACGGAAACCCATTCGATCCGGAGGTTCTGTGATCAAAGAAGCATCATCATAAGCTATAGATCTCTATTAATACCGATGGGAGTATTCAAGAAAGCAAGAACAAGAAGACATCAATCAACAACAGCCGAATTAGAACAGAGAAAGCCAACGCACAAGCTGAGTACATAGAAGCAAAAAACTAAGTGAACAACAGCACTAAAACTGACAAGCACAAATATATGGAAGACCTAGCAACGACAACGGGAAAAGCTGCAACAGAACCAAATATCAAACAACTTTATAACACAACGAAGAAACCTACAGGGAAATAAGACAAAGCAGAGAGATCGGTCAAGCACAAGGAAAGCAAAACAATCACCAACATTCAATGACAGAGCAATAGATGGGTGGAACACTACGAGCAACTCTTAAATACACCAGCTCCATCGAATCCTCTGCACATCGAAACAACACACACACACACAGATCTTCCTATCGATCTCATTCTACCAACGATCGAACAAATTACAATATCCATCAGACAAATCAACAGTGGGAAAGCAGCACGACCCGACAATATACCAGTCCAAGCAAGTGCCACCGACAGACTGGAAAGAACAATACCTCGTCAAGATACCAAACAAAGGAGTTATGAGCGAATATCAAAACTACACAGGAATCACACTACTGTCAGTACCACGAAAGATTTTCAACAGTGATGCTGAACCAGATGAAAGACTCAGTAGATGCCCAACAGGTTGGATCCCGTAAGGATCGGTCGTTCACAGATCAAGTTGCGACACTACGGATCATCGTCGAACAATCAACTGAATGGAACTCTTCACTATAGATTGACTTCCTCCATATATATACAGGTGGAAAGAAATGAACTTCGTCTACATCAACGGAACAAGAGAAACATGCCACAAAATCCCTAGCATTGCGCTTTACTTCCTCGGATAAATTTGGTTGAGACTTCTAGTGACAAATATTCATGTGTTAAAAATAGAAGAAATCAGAATTTCTTACCTTTCTCAATTCTAACATACTTCGATGAAATGACGATCGACTATCTTGTAACGTAGATGACAACCTTTGGCTAGATGTGCGTGTTGAGCTGATGGGCGCTGCTGTACTTATACTATCAGACGCCCTAACATCATAGGCGTTATAGGTATGACAACTGCTCACAGGCTGAAAAGAAAGAAACAAGATAAATAGTCTGATGACGTGTTCAGATACAAAACTGATTATTTATTGGAATCTTGAAAAACCAAATGTATCGTTAGCTTACTGACAGGCATTGAAAACTGGAAGAGGTATCCGTTTATTAATATGAAAAAAAGGTTTTAGTACGCAAGACATTGTTCCTGACTGTATTAATAAAGCTGGATAGTAAATTTACGACATTAACGTGGGAAACTGTTACTACGACGCGTCTTTTATTTCCTTGCCATTGCAATTTGCTAGTTAAATCCCATATTGGAGTATGGATAATAAGAAAAAAGAATACTTCCCAAAGAACCGAAACAACAAAAAGTACGAAAGGGGGGAGAGTTTATATAGAATTTATGGGAAAAACATTTCCAAACCGTTTATCAGAACTGATTGTTCGAAAATGAACTAGTTAGCATATAGCAATAAAGCCTTGCATAGAAAATGGAATATTCAGCCTTCTCCTCAAGGGCTGGTATTCGTTCTAGTCGATGATGTACTGATCATGTCCCCACCCTCCACTAAATGCTAGAATACCGTCGTACTTATCAAAGGCCAACAATCGTAGTGTTTCTTGACATTAGGGTTGCATTCAACTCATTGGACAGAACTGTTCTCTGGGATCGCCTATTGAAGAAGGATGTGCCTGAGTTTACTAACATCCTAAAATCCCTATATACAAATACCTCAGGCAGATTGAGGGCATACAACCACCTCTTTCCACTGTTCCATTCAAAGTGGGATTAGACAGGGTTGCCCAATCTCACCATTCCTCTTCAACTTTGCCATTGATGACATTCTGGAAACAGCTCTGATGGATGTGGGTAGTTGCGATGTGGATCTGTTGCCTGGAGAAAGACTTCTCGACCTTGAGTATGCGGATGATATTGTCTTGTTGTGCGATGATACCCAAACCATGCAATTCGCACTTAATCAGTTGGGACTTAGTGTCCGTGGATATGGCACGTACTTCGCACCTTCCAAGTGCAGAGTACTTTTACAAGACTGGCAGGACTCTGGTCTTGAACTCACCCTGGATAGTGAGGAGATAGTTGTAAAACAGTTTGTACCTGGGTAGCTGAGTAAGGGCTGGGGTTGGAGTGAGTGATGAGATCAATTCACGTATAGTGAATATTACCAGTATTAGCTTTTTTACGACTACTAGTACTACTATTTTATATCGACTAATAGTAATGATACTACTACTACTACTACCACTACTACTACTACTACTACTACTAATAATAATAATAATAATAATATACTGTTGCATATATATATATATATACTTGGAATTTCTCAGAGGCAATTTTATTGTCTATTAAATTCAGCTAAAAAACTAGGAAGGATTGGATGGTTTTTCGCCTTATTTTGAAACTTCCAAAGGAGTCACGAAGACCAGTAGAGAACTGAACCCAGATGTGTCAGGACTCGTAGCGATCTGGCAAACCGTAAGTACAAGCAAACCAGAAGTTCAGCTTTCCATGGTTTTTGATTATTAGCTCAATGACAATCCTTGATGTTAACTCTTCTAATCAGTTATCTACGTGCACATCCTCAAATTTAGACTAATTCTTAGTTTTTACTACTAAACTAATATCGAAGTAAATATCTGGGCTTCAATAATCTACTAATAAATTGTTACACAGCGAACTAAATGTTTTAAAATTCATTTAATATACATACATCAGGAACTGTTTTATGAAATATACATATATTTAACTTTCAGAAGGAAAGAGATAATAAAATTAATTCCAACTTTACGAGGATGACTCCATGGAAGACATTTACAGAAAAATAATTTTCGATGAACAGATGATTACTACAAATTTACTCACAAGTTGTTCCGCAACGCCAACCTGCTGATTCTGACAGGAAGATGGAGAACTGACTATTGCTTCCTCTACGGTGCACGTTTCCAAGGCAGATGCAATTGTTGTCGGTGGACGTTGTCTGTCACAGACAACTGGACTGGTAACTGGACTAAGAGGACAGGATGCAATATCATTGGAGACACCGTCTGCACATTCGTGGTGATGATGGTGGTGGTGAACATGATGGACATGGTGTATGTGATGGACGTGATGAATTTGACCGTTCTTGTCAATTATAGTAGTTGGACGTGCCCCAAATTCGATACCTTCAGTACATTTTAAGACCTTTTTGTTGGAATCGACAGGAATCTCACAGGGAAGGTGAGAAGTAACTGAATTCGTAGTATCACAGTTGGAATTATTTTCATGTTCTTTAACCAGTAAGACATCAGGGTTTAATGGAAGAATCCCCTCATTGAACTGAGGAGTAGTAACTTCATCGTTGTTTTGTTCTTTCCCGCTGTGGGGTTTCGATATACCCGAACAATTTGAACTGTTTAACCAACACCTATGGTTTTTGCGGTTGGGGCAGCCACAAGCTGGAACTTTTGTAGATGATGAATGATTTCCCATACAAGAAAAGCATTCTCTAGTAGAATCAAGGGGCTGTTATTGGTAGAGAAAAACACAGTTGAGTGATTAATAGCCTCGAAGAAAAGAGATGCGTGTAGTAAAAAAGATGTAACACATGTAATTAAAAGGCTTGACTATCGGACACGTTATTAAAGATAATACTAATGATCACATACTAAGTGTACCTGATATTAGTAAATGTAACTCGGTAACTATCGATATTTACACACTAAACTGTGAACTAAATTTACTGAGACAACAATAATGGGTCCCTAAACTATTGAATCAGCATTGCCACCAACATACTGAGCAGTACAGGTGAGACTACTAAATTAAATAGTTGGTTTAGCCATCAGCAAAGAATTGATCACGTTTCCTGAAATGTTCCAGAAAATATATTTCGACTGGGTTATTAGGATAGCTAAACCAAACCATCATAGAAAAGTAGCAGCAACGATTTGGAGTGAGAAATAGAATTTGCCATGTTAGTCCTAGTCAGGATTAAAAACGCTTTTTATGACAAACAATTTTCAAATTTTCCCAATTATTCATAAATCGTTAAAAGGTCATATGTTTGAATTGTTACTTGGAAGTGGCTAAAACAGGCAATTTACATATACTTTAATGTATTGTGCAGAAAGTTGAGGATATCAAGTACTTTAAACAGATTTGTGACCGAAGAACTTGAAGTTAAGCACATAGATTGCAACTCAAATCTATTTACCAAGGTTTGTGTGCAACCACGTGTCAATTTACTACTTATCATGACATCTATTCATACCAAACTAGTAATTCGACAATTGTGTGAAGTACCTAGACTGCTGATGACTGATTCTTAGATTTTTCTGATGTTAAATGTGTGATTATCTAGTACTCTGTAGACACCTGCATCCACTGTTAATTTACATAACACTAGGCGAAATAAAGGTTGGTAGCGCTATTATTGCTGGATACTATCTGAAAACATCTGAAAACTAATTTATAGTAATAAACCATATTGTCGAGCGTAAAGAAGTTACCGGATTTGTGGTCAAATAGATCAAATACATTCAAACCATGACTGAGACTGGTAATATAATACCTTCCCAGTACTAATTGTCATTTTATTTGATTTGTGTGAAGTATCGTCTCTATATCTGAACACAATGTTCGGGCACAGAAACGCTTATTCGTTTGGTGTCATTATCTTGAAACATCGACTTTGGTGGCTTGGACATGTTCTACGAATGTCGTCTCAGAGAATTCCACGTCGTGCATTATTTGCCGACTCTGGGACTGGTTGGAAGAAGCGGAGAGGTGGTCAGTATGACATGGTGTCGTGGTATAAAAGAAAGCTGCAAAGTACTAGCTTCTGTTGGTCCTTCACGACTCCATGGTTGGGGTCTTAGAGACGTAACACGTGGCTAATTTAATTCTAGACTGTAGAGCGAAGGAAAAACTGAACAGAAAATGAGTCCGAGTTTTTGTCAGACTCCAGGTAAATTTGAAGTCAATTCAGAGTAAGTTGCTTGTAGTAGCACGGAAGAGTAGCAGGAACTTAGTGATTATCCTCGAACCAGGTCAAAGATCCCAACCACTACCTACCTACCAAGGTTCGTGGATCCGGGCAGTATTAGTGACCCTCACAGTATGACCGACAACTAGGCTCATAAACTCATACTTCACAAAAGTTACACTAACACTTAAAAACATTTTCAGCAGTAAAATGACTGCTACAAAATACCAGCGAATAAACTACCGCGAACCATACATATTTTTTTCCTCGGAATATTAAATACTCTCTTTGGTGGACTATTAGAACCGTTCATGAGAAAAAGCCAAAATATGGAGATAAATACTTACGTTTACGTGACCGGATACATAGGGGGAACAAGCACAAATCATTGCGAGGGCAGAATCTGGTCTTTTATGGTTTATACACATATTTGGATGATTTGGAGTCTGGTATCTGGACTGGGAAGCTCCTATAGTTTTGGATACATGTACCTGTTTCAATCGACCGTTTGAAGGGCTTATACTATCAAGGCGCTCAAAATGTCTTTTTGTTATATCTGGACTGAAAAGCGAATTCCTACACTTAATAATGGAGCTCCGACTGTTTGCTGATCTCGGTGGAAGTGAATGATGGTCAACACGGGGATTCAGAGTTGCATTAGATTCACAGCCATTCTGATTATATGAACTAAATCTGACTCCTTCAATAAAAGAACTATTATAGCTGAAAGAACGTTTTTGTTGTACGAAACGACCCCCAAACTTCTGATCGAAAATATCCGTCTTCCATTCGCGATCCCTTTTATGAACAAGTGGTTTCAGTCGCCTACAAAATCTATCTTCATTTAGATGAGGTAAATTTTTTACATTTACAACGGAATCATCTGGTGGATGGGGAAAATTTGTTTTAGGAGATTTGAAGCTCTTTGAAGCATGAAATATACGTTGGAAAGTGTCAGATATCCATTGTAAACTGCCGCACCTTGTTTTGTTTGTATCAACTTGCTCTTGGTGATACCGAGAAATCTTTCGGCTAGCAGAATGATCTGAAATTAAATTGAGACCACGATATTCTGAGGAAAAGCATCCTTGGTTCGATGCATAGCTAGAGTCTAGTTTATTACCACCACTAGGACCCCATATTTTTGCAGAGCAGGAACAGTTTGATGCTGGTAAGTCAGATGTTGAGCTCGAATCCCTTCCGAGCTCGCATAAATTAACTTCTTGGTGTTTCAAGACTCCCTGACAAATATGTCGCTTTGCGAACCGTTTGCAAATGGATGGCTGTGTGATTTTTGCATTAGAAATATTTTTATCGAACGTAAACAAACAGGAATTACCATTCCCGTCAGATGAAATTTTACCTGGTCTACTTGTTTCACTCTTTTGCTGCGACGAGTACTGGAACTTCATACTGTTACTGTTAGGTGTTTGAGGGCATTCAAGACATTTTTTGTAGTTTACATCCTCGTGATCCGGTAGAGATTCGATTGGATGTTTCTGAGGTTTATCGATTGAATCAACGTCACATGTAGAGTGTGGATGCAAACCGTTTCGCCTGCACACCGCACAAACGTCTGGAAAGCGACCAATGGGCGAAAAATTTGGGTTTTCCAAGTTGATAATTGGTTCACATTTTATACATCTATGTTTTATTTGTCGAAGTGGACGAGATGTGGGTTTTGGAGGAAGAGGGGGGATTTGTTTAAAAGCTTTAGGTGGAATGGGAGGTGGATTTTTATCTGTCGAAGATGATGATGGAAACTGACCGACTCCACATTCATAATTCGCCTCCTCTTTAGGAGACACAATGGTATGCTTTTCACATGCACAAACTCCGGTCTCAAATTGCATGGCATGCTCAAAAAGAAACAATAGGGCGTGAACAAACAAAAATATTATTGAGATTTGAGACAAGCTGACTTCTGAGTACTCTGGAAGTTGACTCCATTCTTAATAACACCAACTATAGTAACGCATTTGGATGTAATGCGCGCCCTGCGAGAACACGAGTATAGGCAAGTGAAACTTGAAACATCAAACTCTGAGGTCGGCCCCTAGATGGTTACACAGCATTTCTGATGGCGGTAGACAAGGATTCTCATCATTTTTTTCTGAAACTGAATGGCAGAACGATTCAAGTAATAATAGTTAGTTTCAGTTTGGAAAGTATAAAAGGTTGGGTGGTTTGTGTTTGTCCACGCAAAAGTGGGTTTTTAGCTGATCCAGCTATCTTTACAGTGCATCAGCAGATGGAGCTGCAATCACATATCGGGGTTATGAGTTCTATTCGTTGTTGATTTTATGGGAAAGTCAAGTGTCATCCGACCAATAATTTGGTCTGGGCTTGTGGAAATTCTCAGTTTTGAAAGACAAAAATGAAGATGTATCAAGTGACAATTATTCATCAAATAATTTGTCAGCTGTGTTTAAGTGACTTATGATCTTTCACTGTGACAAAAGAGATAGGTTAAGCTCACCCAGACTGTCATTATACAAGAGATTGCGATTCCAATAATCAGCGTAGGTGTAGATCTTTGAACCTTTTCCGACAGCTTACTACTTTCTTTCAAGCAGGGACCAAGTGCTTGTATTTCACATCGGAGTTTAGGACGAACGGATGCTGAATCAAAGGTCAAAAAGCTTTTAGCATCGACATGGTTAAGGGCTCCACGTATTGACCATACGGTCATTCAGCTTTTGAGATTATTGAAAGGTAGTAAGAAATAGTTTTTAGATTATGGCTAGGAATAACCTCTAAGTCACTGTGTGTCTGGAGAGTGGGTGACTCAATGATCTTCACTGATTATGTATCAGTATCTTTATGACCGTGTAGAATTTAATTTGTCCTACAGTTATACTACTGGAACCTTAAACGCGATACTGTCGATCAGGGAGTCCTTGTGAAAGCTATAGTCAGAACAAGGACAGCTTGGCTTTAAACCTTATCTGTTTGTGAATGTTAAAACAATTAGATTAGTACAATAATTAACGAAATTACAGTCATTAAGTGAAGTGAAAAAACATACCGACCAGTATTGTGTGACTTGTCGAAATTAATAAACTTATGAGTCACATTAACATAATAGGATTATAATGTCTTTCAATTGGTAGGTCACATGCGACAGGGATAGTCTACAGATACATCAAACCAGATCAACGTGGTGGGTGCCTAAACAACGACTTGATTGGTTAGTTATAGACATAAAAAACACTCCCTTCTCCAAGCAGACATCGCGCCCAGGCTTCGTTACCGTCGCGCTCAAATAATCGTTCTCTTCCAGTAGGCACAGGTTCCGTATGTCCTGGCTGGGAGCTAGAGAGTGCATCAACGTCATGAAATGAGTCGATAGTTGTCTCCATCTTTAAAAGAGGTCCTCCAACTGGATCAGGCACAATAAATCACACACAAAAAATAGAATCAGCAAAAGACCCCGTCATAGAAGGACTCACTGAGGCTGTCACCAGAATGCAAATGGGTCATAGAAACAGGAGCAGGTCACCAGAACGACCACGATCCAAGTCAAAAAACAGGTCACAAACGTCCACACAATCTGGGCAGTTTTGTTGGTACCACTGGAAGTTTGGTGTCAACTCAACCATGTGCATGCAACCATGCGCCTGGTCTAAGCATAATTCTAAGACAGCGGGAAACGAGTGACCCTTCCCCAGGTCGCGACGACTGAGGAGGGGCGCCTAAACAGTCGCTCGTTTTATGTTAGAGACAGAAACTCTGGCTTGAATTTCTTGGTGTATACTGGCGCTACTCTTAGCATCATTCCTCAAAATAAAACTGAAATTAATCGAGAAACATCAATTACACTTCAAGCTGCAAATATAACTAAAATTGCGACTCAAGAGGCAGGTGAGTAAACACCTGATAGCCGGTCTGAGCACGGAAAAATCGTACCTCACCAACATGGTGTTGGGTAGCCCGCTCGCGGCACTTCCTCAGATATTCTTGTTCCACATTCTCGCACTTTCTCTTGAAAGCACGCAGCAAACTGCCAGCGATAGTTGTAGAAGAAATCACATGCTACAAAATAAGATGACAAGCTAGTAAATGAAGAAACACCCATGGACCATCGTTGACAGCGTCAGTCGTCACTGATTGTAAGTCAAACAGTGAGCGAGTTGATAATTTTCCCTGGGGATGAGAAATAGAACTAAGGTGTTTTCGATAGATAGGTTAATCGAACCAACGTTCCTACGGAAGTCGATTCTAGGGGGAAGCTAATGTAACAGCTTAGGTTGGTTGGTTAAGAGTTGACCCCAAACAACCAAGCATATGCCAAAACAGTATTGTTCAAGTATTAATTCACTTCCTTATTTTTTATAAGCGTTATATTCCCTATTATCTTATATTGAATGTTGAGAGCCTTTGTTTGTCTGAACAGATAATCCCACGCTCCACTGTGACTGCGCGAAGATCGAAATAAAGACCTAATCACTATTTCTCTGGTTTCTTCTATCAATAGCACGAGGGTTACCTTAAGGCAGGAAGCGTTCACGTCGTTCCTCTAACAACTATCTGGGGATATGTCTACTTCGGATTGCGTCCAAGCTATTGGCTTCCGTCATACTTCGTAGGTTGTTCAAAACCCGAGAAAGATTGACTTGCGAGGAGCAGGCTGAGCTTCGTTCCGGTTGATGATGTATTGATCATATATTCACCCTCCGCCAAATGTTAGAACACCGCCATACTTATCAAAGGCCAACAATCGTAGTGTTTCTTGACATTAGGGTTGCATTCAACTCATTGGACAGAACTGTTCTCTGGGATCGCCTATTGAAGAAGGATGTGCCTGAGTTTACTAACATCCTAAAATCCCTATATACAAATACCTCAGGCAGATTGAGGGCATACAACCACCTCTTTCCACTGTTCCATTCAAAGTGGGATTAGACAGGGTTGCCCAATCTCACCATTCCTCTTCAACTTTGCCATTGATGACATTCTGGAAACAGCTCTGATGGATGTGGGTAGTTGCGATGTGGATCTGTTGCCTGGAGAAAGACTTCTCGACCTTGAGTATGCGGATGATATTGTCTTGTTGTGCGATGATACCCAAACCATGCAATTCGCACTTAATCAGTTGGGACTTAGTGTCCGTGGATATGGCACGTACTTCGCACCTTCCAAGTGCAGAGTACTTTTACAAGACTGGCAGGACTCTGGTCTTGAACTCACCCTGGATAGTGAGGAGATAGTTGTAAAACAGTTTGTACCTGGGTAGCTGAGTAAGGGCTGGGGTTGGAGTGAGTGATGAGATCAATTCACGTATAGTGAAAGCCAGAGCGGTTTATGCCAATCTAGGCCACCTTTGGCGCCTGTGTGATGTTAGTCTGGCCGTAAAAGTTCGGATTTACAACGCGTCGGTGAGAGCAGTTTTGCTCTATGCTTGTGAAACCTGGCCTCTCCGAGTTGAGGACGTTAGCCGACTCTCTGTGTTCGATCATCGCTGTCTCCAAAGGATTGCTGAAATCCGATGGCAACCCATTTTAGTAATGCAGATGTTCGGCATCGTGTGTTCGGGCACAGAGACGATCATGCAATCGGTACCACCATTTTGAAACACCGACTTCGCTGGCTTGGACATGTTCTACGAATGTCGTCTCAGAGAATTCCACGTCGTGCATTATTTGCCGACTCTGGGACTGGTTGGAAGAAGCGGAGAGGTGGTCAGTATGACATGGTGTCGTGGTATAAAAGAAAGCTGCAAAGTACTAGCTTCTGTTGGTCCTTCACGACTCCATGGTTGGGGTCTTAGAGACGTAACACGTGGCTAATTTAATTCTAGACTGTAGAGCGAAGGAAAAACTGAACAGAAAATGAGTCCGAGTTTTTGTCAGACTCCAGGTAAATTTGAAGTCAATTCAGAGTAAGTTGCTTGTAGTAGCACGGAAGAGTAGCAGGAACTTAGTGATTATCCTCGAACCAGGTCAAAGATCCCAACCACTACCTACCTACCAAGGTTCGTGGATCCGGGCAGTATTAGTGACCCTCACAGTATGACCGACAACTAGGCTCATAAACTCATACTTCACAAAAGTTACACTAACACTTAAAAACATTTTCAGCAGTAAAATGACTGCTACAAAATACCAGCGAATAAACTACCGCGAACCATACATATTTTTTTCCTCGGAATATTAAATACTCTCTTTGGTGGACTATAAGAACCGTTCATGAGAAAAAGCCAAAATATGGAGATAAATATTTACGTGCTACACAGCGGCATTATTTGCCAACGCTGGGACTGGTTGGAAGAAGCGGAGAGGTGGTCAGTATATGACATGGTGTCGTGGTATGAAAGGAAGCTGCAAAGTGCTAGCTTCTGTTGGTCCTTCACGACTTCATGGTTGGGTTGCTAGAGATGGTGCAACACTGGCTGGAGACGTTATCAGATATGGCTCAGAATAGAAGCCAATGGCGATCCTGCTCTCCCCTTCTTTTACTTTCTCCATGAAAAAGGTGGTTGTGTCTTCCTTAACTGAAAGATTTCTTCTGATTGTACCTTCACGTTCCCCCATTATTCCACTACTATTATTACACTACCTTACACAAATCTCTTCCTTATTGTCCTTTTTTAATCCTCCTTACTTTTTTTTCTTTTCCTTCTCTTTAAATTCTCATTGTTTTGTGTGGCGAATATATATTTGGCGCACTCTGGTACCAATATTTATGTGTTCAAATAATAATAACAATTGACCTACCTAACTATGGCTTTCGGCCATGATTTCTCTGTGAGCTTATGTTGTTTACCAACACTAAGTCTACCGGGTGTGTATTCCTTATCATGCCTAACCACTTGGATCTCGCCAGAAGGGTTGGTAAGTATTCCCGTAATCTTCTGTTCCAAAATAGGTTGGCTAGTTGTTGTGCTTCCTTCCATTTCCTATTATATAAGCACGTTTTACTCATCTGCGCATCTGCGAATGATACACCTTTGTAAACTAACGATTACTTTTGTAGTGTAAGTACATCCAGGTGTTCACAGTCATTAACTAGCTTTGCTAGCGGTCGATTGTTCATTATTCCTCTAGCTCCTATTATAAAACGTATCCAAAGACTAGTCCGTCAATACCTTCTGAAACAGTAGTGATGGTAGAATCCTTCTTATTGACTTAATAATGCGACCCTTTACACTGCCTCGATGTCTGGTTCTCGAGAGGTTAAAGCGCTATTCACAACCTCTTTTTAAAAGTGAATTTGCTACCTTATTCTGGTTCCAACTACACATAATCTGTCTAAGACTAATATTGACTCCTTTTAAGCTACTAGATGCACCCTTACTCTTGTTCCCAAGTCGTACAAAGGCACCTTTCTCATCACCATGTACGAGGTCACGGGGAAGATGTGCTGCTTGCCTCTTCAGGGTCTTAGTTATTTACTTTTTTTGTTACAGTGGCCTTTGGCTTTTTCGGTGTCTTGACTTTCGGCTTGGTGACCTTCTTTTTCTTAGGCTTTCTCAGTGGTGATTTGGGTTTATTAGCGAATGGTGTTTCAGTTTTTAGCTTAAAAACCTTGGACTCAGTTAATAAAAAGGAACAATGGGTTTGACGAGAGACATTTTCAAAACGAGCATACTTCACAACACCATATGTAGATTCTGAGGCATCGGCAAAGCAATGAATGTTTCGTGCCTATGGGTAATCCTTGTTCTTTTGATAGAAGAAAGCGGACTAGTAGTGAATAAAACTTTATTTAGATCTTCTCGCAGTCACAGTGGAGCGTTGGACTACCAGTTCAAACAAACAAAGCTTCTTAACATTCAATATAAGATAATAAGAAATATAATGCCTATACAAAGTAAAAAAGTGAATGAATGCATGAACTCTATTGTTTTGACATATAATTAGTTTTTTGCGGTCAACTCTTAATCACTCAACCTAAGCTGTTACATATACACATTGCAAAAGAAATTTAAGAATACATGTGGTTTGTCATTATCCTCTTCCACCAGTGATATAGCATTATTATGCTGAGGTGCTTCCCATCGTAATAATTACTTACCTACTCCTTTACCCCTTAGCAGAGGACCATAGGCCACCCAACAATCATCATCCTTGGTAGACTGGACAACAGAACAGGAATCCTCCGTTTGAAATTTGAATATAAACCTCACCGCATTGCACATTCATTGGAGCATTTTACTGTAGTTTAATTCGAATGAATCATACGTCTTTCCGTAAGCAAAAATTAATATGAAAGAGAATCAGGTTAGCAATTACTGATGAGACGACACCGCGATATCATAAGGGAAGAAACATCTGTACCTCGACCCTCAGAAAATCTCGAAGAAAATCATGTTAAGAAGTCTGAAGAGCAAATTACCGCTTGTATTCGAATATAAGCCAAAGGAATAAGAAAAGGGAACTTTTTCGTGCCTTAAAGTAGCCCTCGTGCTATTGATAGAAGAAACCAGAGAAGTAGTGAATAGGTCTTTATTTCGATCTTAGCGCGGTGACAGTGGAGCGTCCGATTACCTGTTCAGACAAACAAAGGCTCTCAACATTCAATATAAGATAATAGGGAATATAACGCTTATACAAAACAAGGAAGTGAATGAATACTTGAACAGTACTGTTTTGGCATATGCTTGGTTGTTTGGGGTCAACTCTTAACCAACCAACCTAGGCTGTTACATTAGCTTCCCCCTAGGATCGACTTCCGTAGGAACGTCGGTTCGATTAACCTAACTATCGAAAACACCTTGGTTCTATTTCTCATCCCCAGGGAAAATTATCAACTCGCTCACTGTTTGACTTACAGTCAGTGACGACTAACGCTGTCAACGATAGTCCATGGATGTCTCTTATTTACTAGCTTGTCATCTTATTTTGTAGCATGTGATTTCTTCTACAACTATCGCCGACGGTTTGCTGCGTGCATTCAAGAGAAAGTATGAGAATGTGGAATAAGAATATCTGAGGAAGTGCCGCGAGCGGGCTACCCAACACCATGTTGGTGAGGTACGATTTTTCCGTGCTCAGACCGGCTATCAGGTGTTTACTCACCTGCCTCTTGAGTCGCCCTCAAGTAAAAAGTAAAGAAGAATCTACTTCAAAGGTACCACTGGAAGTTTGGTGTCAACTCAACCAAGTGCATGCAACCATGCGTCTGGCCGAAGCATAATTCTAAGTCAGCGGGAAACGAGTAACCCCTCCCCAGGTCGCGACGACTGAGGAGGGGCGCCTAAACAGTCGCTTGTTTTATGTTAGAGACAGAAACTCGGGCTTGAATTTCTTGGTGGATACTGGCGCTGCTCTTAGCATCATCCCTCAAAATAAAACTGAGATTAGTCGCGAAACATCATCAATTACACTTCAAGCTGCAAATAAAACTAATATTGCGACATTTGGGCAGAAAACTTTAACCCTAGATTTGGGGTTCAGGAGGCAATTCCCTTGGGTTTTCACGGTAGCCGACCTAGATCTGGCAATACTGGGGATGGACTTTCTAGAGAGATACGAATTTCTAGTTGACACCAAGAAACGGCGATTAACACTAAAAGAAACTTCGTATTACACAAAAGGCAAAGAAAGTCACATCAGCTCTCTTAACTTGATTCAAACCCCTCCAGTAACAACAGCGAAATTCCAAGATATACTCGCGGAATTTCCAAACTTAACTAAACCAAACCCACAGCCTTCCAAAGACAAACTAAAAGTGAGTCACACTATCAAAACCGAAGGTGCACCGGTGTTTGCAAAACCCAGGAGACTAGCACCAGATAAGCTCAAAATCGCTAGGACCGAGTTTGATTATATGCTACAATTGGGTATTATCCGTCCCTCTGATAGTCAATGGGCATCCCCTTTGCATATGGTCCCAAAGAAGAATGAAGGTGACTGGCGACCGTGCGGGGATTACAGAGCCCTAAACCGTCAAACCGTACCAGATAGGTACCCAATACCTCATATCCAAGATTTCACCAACGGTTTACAGGGTATGAACATATTCACTAAAATTGACTTAGTCAGGGCATATCACAATATCCCCGTGGCTGATGAAGATATTCCCAAAACAGCTATTACTACACCCTTTGGCTTATTCGAGTTTGTACGCATGCCATTCGGCCTGAGAAATGCGGCACAGACATTTCAAAGATTCATAGATAACCTACTTCGAGATATGCCATTTGCGCAGGGGTATATAGACGACTTGTTAATTGCCAGCCCCGATTTGCAATCACACGAACAGCATGTACAAGCAGTGTTGAAAAGACTGGATGAACATGGAATAAACATACATCAAAGTAAGTGTGTTTTCGGTGTTCAAAATTTAGAATTTCTCGGTCACACAATAAGCCCAGAGGGGATTAAACCTATCAAAAAAGAAGTGGATACCATCAAACAATACCCCGTACCTAGTTCTCTAACACAACTGAGAAGTTTTCTAGGCCTAATTAACTTTTATCGCAGATTCATACCAGGTTGTGCACAATTAATGCAACCTTTGACAGATTCACTTAAAGGAAAACCAAAAGAATTCAAACTGTCTTCTGACGCCATCGAAGCTATTAAACAGCTTAAAGATAAACTGGCTCAAGCAACTACGTTGATATATCCGAATTCTCTTTCCCCACTTGCTTTGATGGTGGATGCTTCAGATAAAGCAGTAGGCGGTACCCTTAACCAACTGGTTAAAAACTCCTGGAAACCAATTGCTTTCTTCTCGAAAAGACTCGCTCCAGCCGAAACAAGGTATTCTACCTTCGGGCGAGAACTTCTTGCAATCTACCTAACCATTAAACACTTCCGACACATGTTAGAAGGTAGGGAATTTATAGTCTTTACGGATCACAAACCACTGACGAATGCATTAAAAGCGAGAGCCGATAAATACTCACCTCG